ATGCAGCCTCAGGGATCTTCCTTTCTTTCTCCAGTCCCTCGCCCATCAGGCCTTCCTCTGAATTCCGCAATGTGCCCAATGCCTCGACCAAGACAGCCTCTCATCTCCAACACAGGCCCATCTCCATCAGTTACTCCTGCAGCTAATCTAGTTGTCAATGCAAGACTACGTTCTCCCGCACCGCACCTAAATGCATACAGGTCATCCTCTTCAATTCCCACGGCCACAACTACTCCAACTTCGTTGTCGCTTCCTCAAGCTTTAACATATTCAGTGTTAATTCAGCAACAGCGAGAACGGCTACAGCAACAGAATTTGGGCAATGGATTGCAAGGCAGCAATGATGTGGTCTGTCTTTCAGACGACGAGTGATCTAATCGGATGTTTAGGGTATAGGAATTGATGTAGGTTTCTTCGTAATCTATTCTGTATAAGTAGGTTTCTGAAGTTTAGATACGACGAGTGATCTTTGGAGTCAATAACCGACTCGTTTCGCTACGGTCTTCGTAAAATGTTCGAAGTTCTACTTTCATGCATTACTACGATGTTGGAACACAAGTGAGGATTACAACTAAACAACTCATCGAAGTAAGAATTTAAGACCACAAAATATAATTTCAGTAGTTTGATTCATGTCGAAGAAAAGGAAATTTAAAAGTTCAGTGTAATTCAATAACACCCTTATCAAAAGAAGATGCTAAAGGGAAATTTGCCAATAATATCAAACTCTCCAAATTTGCCAAAAAATATTGTTTTGTAAGGTAAAAAAATATGTCTGTTTTTCTAAGAATGTAAGTACTTAAATTTTAGTAAAAAAATATGAATTACTTTTTTCCAAATTCTGAAAATTCAGTATTATTTTGGCAGTTTTTCCTTTTTTTAAGTTTTGATGTATGAAGTGTTTAATATGGTAATAAATATTTTAAGATGTATTTAGCAAAAATATATGTCTATCTATACTTTTGGATGTTTCCTAATTTCATCGAAAAAATAAGTGAAATAAAACCCTAAAAAAATATAATAAACAGTTGATGTTTAATAAGCTAAAATGATTTAAATTGAACAATTCGCTTCCTTCTTCTTCTCTTTGATAAAACCGCGTCTTCATATTCTTCTTCTTTGATAAGTCTTTTTGGTCTTGTGATCAACTTTCTCCTTCTCTCCATCCAATTCTCTACAAACTCCACTTTTTTGCTTTCTCTTTTTCCCCGAAAAAGAAACATGGCGAGCCAGAACGAATTGCGAGAAGCGAAATCGGAGTCTCTGAATCTTCCCAAAACCCTCGATCCTTCATCTCCTTCTCCCACCGATGCCTCAAGATCATCCGTTGACGCGACCCGACCCGATCCTTCTTCTTCTACTCGCTCTCGCTCTAGGACTACTTCATCCTCCTCTTCAGACCTCCGTTTCCCAAAGGTTCTCTCTTTCTCTCACCCTTCTCTCTAGAATCAAACGATTTTTCTCATGTGGGTGATGCGAAAGTAACAAACTTTATGCAATTTTTTATCATCTAAAGGGTTTAACTATTGTCAGATCTATCAATCATCTAGTTCTCGCTTTACCAATTTGTGTTAGGGTTTAAGGTAAAATCGGCGATTGTGTGTTAAAGACTTGGTTTCTCTGAAATTTGCAGAGCAAGTGTGCGATTTGCTTGGATGAGATCAGAAAAGAAGACGGGAAGGCCATATTTACTGCAGAGTGTTCTCACTCGTTCCATTTCAATTGTATAACATCAAACGTGAGACACGGAAACAGGATCTGTCCTTTATGCAGAACTCAATGGAAACAAGTCCCTTTGTGTGATGATAATAACACTGTCCCTACTCTTTCGGCTCAAAGAGGTTTTGAAGATGATGAGGCTTTACCTCACGGAGAGACCCAAATCCAGAGTGATGGTGTTGCTCCTCGTCAAGCCCTTGAGATTAATCTGTTTCCAGAAGTCTCTGCAGTGGCGAAATCGGTCACTCGTGGTGATTTTGCTGTTCTGGTTCATCTTAAAGCGGATGGTGTGAGCAATGATGATAGGCGCACTCGTGCTCCTTTGGATCTCATTACGGTTCTTGATGTGAGTGGTAGCATGGAAGGAATGAAAATGCAGCTTATGAAAAATGCAATGGGTTTTGTGATTCAGAATCTTGGTGAGACGGATAGGCTCTCTGTGATTGCTTTCTCCTCCACGGCTCGACGACTATTCCCACTTCGATTGATGTCTGAAACGGGCAAGCAAGTGGCGATGCAGGCTGTTAACTCCTTGTTTGCTGAAGGTGGGACAAACATTGCTGAGGGACTTAAGATTGGTGCTAGAGTGATCGAGGATAGGCGATGGAAGAACCCGGTTTCCGGGATAATGCTTTTGTCAGATGGGCAGGACAACTTTACTCTTGCTTATAATGGTCTCCGTTTGAGAGCAGATTACGAGTCTTTGCTTCCGGGTTCTTCCCGGATTCCAATTCATACATTTGGGTTTGGCTCAGATCACGATGCTGAGCTGATGCATACAATATCACAAGTCTCTAGGGGCACGTTTTCATTCATCGAAACAGAGACTGTGATTCAGGATGCTTTTGCGCAATGCATTGGAGGGCTTCTCAGTGTTGTGATTCTTGAACAAGCTGTCGAAATCGAATGCATCCATGAGCAGGGCCTGAAAATATCCTCCATAAAAGCAGGAAGCTACAGAAGCCGCATAGCATCTGATGCAAGAACCGCCACAATCGATGTCGGAGACATGTACGCAGAAGAAGAAAGGGACTTCCTCGTGATTCTTGAGGTTCCTTGCGGGTCTGCTGAATCCGAATCCATGTCTTTGCTGAAGGTTAGATGCGTGTACAAAGATCCTGTTACGAATGAGATAGTCCGTGTGGAATCTGGAGAAGTAAATATCCAAAGGCCAATAGAGCTAACAGGAGAAGAAGTTGTGACCATTGAGGTTGACAGACAACTAAATAGGTTCCTTGTTTCACAAGCAATGTCAGAGGCTAGGGTTTTAGCTGATCGAGGTGAACTGAGCGCAGCAGTGGAGCTTCTGAGGAGCCGTGAGAGAGCATTATCGGAGACAGCGTCTGCTCGGTCCAGAGATAGGCTTTGTCAATCATTGTCCGCTGAGCTGAGTGCGTTGCAAGAAAGGATGACGAGTCGGAGGACGTACCAAAGATCAGGTCGAGCTTACTTCTTCTCGAGCATGAGCTCGCATTCAACTCAAAGAGCAACGGCTCGTGGAAACTCGACCCAGGGTTATAGCCCGGTTCAGGCTTACCAGACGAGCCACATGGCTGGTATGGTGAGTCGGTCTCAGCAACTGGTGATCGAAAGCCCTAACCCGTCGTCTTCTCCAGCTCGTGAAGACCGAAGCTGAAATTTGACAGAAAAGACTAATAAAATGGTGTTTTGTGATTTGCTTGTTTGGTTTTAATGGAGTATTGGTTTGGTGAGCGTTAAGAGAGAAATTGAGTTGGTTCGGTCAGAACCGGGACATGTTTTTTTCTTTTAAGCAGCAGTATGGTATTGGTTTATATATTCCATTAAAGATTTGGTATTGAACTAATTTTTTTTTTTTTTTCGGGTTTATTGTGGATTCGTATAATGGAGCATATTTTCTTTGTTACAAATCAATGTTTTTGTAGTATTATGTATATGATACTGCACGATAATCCTGCAACGGAGAAAGATTATGAAGGCCAAAACATAATCACAAGAGTTTTAGTTTTCGAAAGTTTTTAATACATTCTCCTAATTTGTGTGTGATCTTTGATTTTCAAGCCTGTCAAGTGTTAATCAAATAAAAAGGGCAAATTAA